AAGGACGGGAAAACACCCGTGACTGCGGTTGCAGAAAGTTCGAACCAAGAAAGTGAAGAAGACTTATTTTTGGCAACCGCAAAGAGCCTAGGTAAATCAGATTGGATATTAGATTCGGGTTGTTCGTTTCACATGTGTTCAGTTAAGGAAAAGTTTGATACCTATCAAACTTGTGATGGGGGTGCTGTGAAGATGGCAAATGGTGCACGGAGCAAAATTGCAGGGGACGGAACAGTGCAAGTTCGCATGTTTGATGGCGTGGTGAGAACATTAACTGGAGTGAAACATGTACCGGGTCTAAAAGGAAATTTGATTTCATTGGGGGCTTTAGACTCAGAAGGCTACCAAATTTTTGCTCAAGGTGGAGTGTTAAAAATTTCTAGGGGAGCAGTGGTGGTAGCAAAAAGAGTTTTGTCAAAGGGCTTGTATAAACTTGTAGGAAAAGATTTGACATGAAAGTTGTCAGAAGGAAAAATTACAAGTGCAACGAGCAGAGCATTTGCATGGAAGAAGCGGGTGACGTTTAAAGTTTCTCCCGCTGGTGGAAGCTGTGACCTCGCCGGAAGGAGCGAGGTGGAGCCGGACCGAGTTTTATTATTTAATCAAGGTGGAGTTTGTTGAGATATTTTTTATTAAATAATTGAAACAAAAAAAAAAGAAAAAAAAGGGTGTAGCTTGGTGGAAACAACCAAGAAGTGCAGGAGAGCCTTTAGGAGTTTTGTCTTCTTCTCTTGGAAGGTGTGAGCTAGATTATTCTCCATTATTGTGTATTTGGCTATTTAAAAGCCATGCAACAATAGCGTAGGGAATGAGTGAGAAAAAGGAGAGGAAGGTTAAAGAGAGAGGTGTTACACAAGATATCACCAATATTGTGTGAGTGAGTGTAGGGAGTAACTATTATTTAGTTACTCGGAAAATACATCCGGGTGTAGGGTGTAAAAAGTCTGTTTATAAGTGTCTGGTATTTAGCACTTGTAAACAGGGAGAGTTTTTTGTGCATCGTTCTGAAATAGTGAAGATATAATTTTTTTCTCATATATTCTCCTTGTGTTTGTTCTCTCATTTTTCTGGTGTTCTCAATATTTTTTGGTATCTTACGCGCTTAAAATCCCAACACAATTTAACTTGAATTCTTATATGCATGTGTGAAAAAAGACAAACTTTCTCACATACATAAATATCACAAGTATTTATTTATTTATTTATTAGAGTACGAATTACTTATCTTACTCGTATTAATTTACACCCTCCGTCCCTAAAAAATTGTCACAACTTGACGTTTTTAATTAAATTGTAGCACCATTTGCTCACGAATTGTAGAAAAAATATGTTTAGTTATTAAATTTAGTAAAATTTAATTTATTTTTAAATATAATTTTGAAATATCAATTCTTTATAATATTTAATTATTTTAAACTATATTTAATTCGTGATCAAAGAGTGACACAATTTGACCAAAAGAATTAAAATGTGATAATCTTTTAGAGATGTGGAGAATATATACTTGATAAACGTCCATAAAACACTTTGAGTGTATGATACGACTCATTTACTCATGCATTTAAACTCAAAGATACACTTTTACGTTTTACCAGCATAGTAAGAAATAAGATGATGAAATACTCGTAGAAATATTTACACTAAATAGCCCTAAAATTTAAGTCATTTCTCTAAATAGCACTTAAACTGCCACTCATGTTACCTGTTGCGCTGGTGGTGCTTGTGGGCCCCGCAGACCTGCGCCTTGTGCCCGCTGGGACCATGTGCACCTCCGAGGAGTGCCCGCAAACCCTCACCGGATACACCTTCATCAGCCTCTTGGCTCCTCCTCTCATGGTTTCCCAAGCTCGGAGCGTTTCTTCGGCAAGAAGAACAACTTCCTCTTTCCCCGACGGAGGTGACACCTCAGCATCAAGAACCTCAGCTAGTATCGGTGGTCTCGGAGGTTCCTGAGTGGGGCCCGGTAAATCTAATTCATCTGCGTCGATAAACTCACTCCTTCTGGTGCGGATTATCGGTTTTCTCCTCCTCTTGGTGGGATATTCTAGTAAATCCACACCAGATTGGATGCAAAGCTCCACCCCGCTCGTATCATAGGGATGAAAAACCCCTCCTCGTGAGAAATTCGCTTTCCCAAACGATCATATAAATGGTATAATTCCACTTGTGCCATAACATCCTCCACTACACCCTCTCCCCACTCGTGAAGTCCTTTTCGGGCTGAAGCCTGTGGGCCCCTTCACGACTTGAAAGGATGCCCGGTGGGCCCAACATGAATGTCGTTACACCACCTTCAAGGATATACACATTACCAAAGTCAAATAAACCATGAGTCTTGGGGGCAGCTGAGCATCTAGGGAGATGAAAAAATGATAAGAAAATTTATTTTCGTATGTTTTTGACATTACACTGCAAAATACAAAGGAAAATGAAAAATGAATGAGCCTTAGTGAATACCTTTTTGAAACATCGACACCCATATTAAGGTCATGCTCTCCTCAACTTATTCTTATTGCTTATTAATCTTATTGAAATCAAATCAGATCAGACTAGATCAGATCATGTGAATAGAACATGACCTAAGCTCAGAGAGATGAGGTAGAAAATTTACTTGCAAGCATGAAGAGGCACTACCTTCAAGAGCCGCTTGAGATTGTTTATCAATGTTAGGAATTAGTTCTTTAACAACCAACCCCTCTCTTGGTGGAGGCAACCATCTCTTGGGTAGGCTTGACTTGTTTTCTAGTCTCTCTCTGGCAGTTCTCCTTAGCTCTAGAATTGGTACAGGAAATGGCTTCTTTTGCTTTCTTGAATAATAATGTGGAAAATCGGCATTTTGTGAATTATGATCAACACATCTAATTCTCTAAAGTTGATGCAGATTCCTTAATAACCGCCTTGGTAACTTCAATACCAATAAACTACAACTTCCCTGAAATTACCTAATAGCCATTAGCTAAGTGGGCTGGGCTAAAACAAGTCAGTGCCCTTTATCCATGCAATGCACCCTTCAATACACCTTTTTAACTTCGTCAAGGTATAAAGGTTATTAGTCACCGATCTTAGGCCCCGTTCCGTTCAACTTATTTTTTCATATTTTTTCTTATTCTTATTAAAATCAGATCAGATCAGATCAGACCAAATCAGATCAGATCAGATCGAATCAGATCAGATCAGATCAGATCAGCTCCAATCAGATCAGATCAGATCCAATCAGATCAGATCAGGAATTCTTAAAGTCAAATCCCATCAAGAATTATTATTATTATTATTATTATTATTATTATCATTGTTATTGTTATTATTAGTATTATTATTATTATTATTGTTGTTGTTGTTGTTGTTCTTAAAAATGACAAGGTCAATCTAATTCTACTTTTAAAATACGGAGTATATTTTTATTGCTACTTGTAATTTGAGTTTCTAACGTTTTGATCTTTTATAAGGATGAGATATTTTAATAAAAATACTATCTCTTCTATATATTGATTATCTAAATTTAATTACTTTTTAATGTATATCTAAATTAAATATTTATTCTAATGTATATATGAAGTAATTATTAAAATATTAAAATAATATTCTAATTTCACAAAAAGTAATCATAAAATAAAAAATATTATTACATTATAATATGAATGATTATTCTAATATATGAATTAACTATTTTTATTTTATTAAAAAATAATCATTAAATAAAAAATATTGATTATATTATAATATGAATTATCATTACAATTTTCAAACGTTATTATAAAGTCAAATCAAATTATTGATTTGAAATTTTAAATTAAATCATAATTAATCAGATCAGANAAAAATATTATTACATTATAATATGAATGATTATTCTAATATATGAATTAACTATTTTTATTTTATTAAAAAATAATCATTAAATAAAAAATATTGATTATATTATAATATGAATTATCATTACAATTTTCAAACGTTATTATAAAGTCAAATCAAATTATTGATTTGAAATTTTAAATTAAATCATAATTAATCAGATCAGACCAGACCAGATCAGATCAGACCCAATCAGATCAGATCAGATCAGATCCAATCAGATCCAATCAGATCAGATCAGATCCAATCAGATCAGATCAGATTCAATCAGATCAGATCAGATCCAATCAGATCAGATCAGATCAGAACTTATTAAAATCAGATCGGATCAGAAAAAGTTGAACGGAACGGAGCCTTACTCATTTGTTAGAAAATGTATAAGTTGGTTTAACTAAATTTATTTTTTGGGGGAAAACATGAAAAAAGCTTCAATTGAGCAAAAAGGATTCTTTTCATATTTAAACAAAAAAATGAAACCAGACTATATGGGACACAATATAATGTGTATCATCATGGATTGGATATTATCTACCAAAACCTGTTTAACAACAAAAAATCAAGATGGCAATTTGGATTTGTTTCCCACTACTAGCAAGAGCACATATGTGTTCAAATAGTTTGTGTGCTTTTGTGGTGAGCCGAGTGTGTCTTAAAAACCAAATCTCACTTCCAAGCAGAGTAAACCCTCTCTACACCCTACTGTCGCGTGGGATTAAGATTCTACTAGCTCTTTTCATGTTGTTGTTGTTCTAGTTAGATTATCTACATCCAATGTGGTTAACAAAATGCATGAATATACTTTTCTTTCTTCCTCTCTTAACTTTATAGCTCCTAAGGTTGGCCGTACTCAAATGGGAATATTGAAACAGCACATTTCAAATAACATTGAACACAATGTCAAAGCATGACCCCAACCTCCTACAATACTCCGTTCGAAAAATTGATAGTTCTTATCCCCTTTAACCCTCTTTCCCCTAGCCGATTGGCTATAGTAACTACTGGTTAGCTACAATAGTTACTATAGCAAATTGGTAAAGGGAAGGACTGCTAGGGTGCATGGGGCTGGGGGAAGAAATCATTAATTTTTTCGAACGAAGCATCGCAAGAGGCTCAGATCATGCATGTTACGACATTAGAAGCCAATGTCACATGAACCGTGTCGAAATTGGAATACATTTATCTCAGCAATGAGCATATATTGGGTCAAATGTAGTGTTTATCAGGGAAGGCTAAAGTTCACAAACCTTCATAGAATTGAGTGATCTAAGACCATGTTTGGGATTCCATCCAAACTCCAAAGGTTGTATTGTAAGGAGCTGAAAATGTAGGTGGCTAGAATTCATTTCTGGAACAAAACTATATCATTAAATAATCGCAATAGATTAAATCTTAAAGTAATCATACTTGTCCAACTTGTTTCTATTATCCATAAATGCAAAACTCTAACAAAAATCATTTTTCAAAAGAAGCAAAATTAATAGGTGAAACAATAGATAAGAATGTACAGTAAGATTAAACAATACGTGAAAGGAAGTGCAAATAGACAAAGAATTTAACTATATAAACATAAATTTTTAGGGTTCAAGACTATAACCTAATGCTGGAATTTCGATGATTTAAATTTGATTTGAACTATGAAATCTAAAAATTGAAATTGAGACAGATTTGTATACTAAATGCGAAATTCCATTGAAGTTTCACCTATCAGTCTGATGTAGTTAAATCTTCTCTAGTCTTATTGGATTTAATCTGTTCTATTCTAATTGATCTAGTATAATTTTAATAAAAATAAATAATAAATAATATTTTCTCTGTTCATAAAAGATATTTCTCTTTCATTTTTTGCACAATCCGTAAAAACACTTCTATCATACCTCAAATGCCAAAAAAAACTTTTAAAATAATTTTCTACATACAATGAAGGACAAATGTGATAAATTTTAACCATTTTAAATGTAAGTAAATTAATTTCTGAATTCCGTGAATATATTCCTAGAAATAAGATGCACTCAAATAATAAAAGATATTTTAATTTAAAATTTGCAAAAAACAAATTTGTGAAGTTTGTGAACTATTTATTTGTAAGTCTAACATTTTTTTTCGCAGCAGAGTTAAAATCAGCACTGACCTTTACGCGCTTCTTTTTCTCCGATCTCATCATAATCGTCTTATCTAAACAGGATACACGCTTCCTCGGTCTCCGTGAACCACCCCCTCCCCCAAATTCCGGAGTCTGCTCCTCTCGCTCAGGTCTTCACTCTCATTTCACCGTCTTCTTCACGGCCGTGCATCTCTCGATCCAATCCCAGGTGCCTCTCTCCCCTATATCTTCACGGTTACGCGAGCGACATATTTGTTTCCGACTTTATTTGCTTGAAATTCGCACTTATTTTTCTCACAGATAATATGGAACCTTTTTGTTCAGTTTTGGTTTTTCAGTTTGCGTTTCTTCTAAATTTTTTAGCAGATGGAGAATGAGCTTTTTGAATTGATCTAAGTTTGCACAGATTTTAAACATCCATTCTTTTTCCTGATTTTATTATGTCTGTTCACAGTTTGTAGATAACATTCAATGTGTACATTTTTCATTCTGAAATGTAGTTTAGTTTATGGGGCTAATTTAATTGTTCCGTATTTGCTATTATTACGTGATAACTAAGAGTAGTAATTTTGATATATACTCCGTATAAGATAAGTTGTGATTGAATAATAAAAGTTATTCAATTATATTGATGTGAGTTACTCAAATAATTAGAATAGCATGCAAGGTTAAATAGGAACGGAGGATTTTTGTTGCAAACAAAATGACCTTATATGCCTCTCAATCAACATTCTTTAATATCTCATTTTCTCACAGTATGACCCATCATAGTCTCACCTTTTACAGCTAATCACTTTTTGTTTTACTGGAACTCAACTACTCAAGTCATCCCGGCCTCCCCAATTGATAGTAAACTGAACAGCAGAAAGCTAAAAATCCGAACTTACCCAAATCCAGTTTCAAGCAACCCAAGGAGTTCAAATAAATACATTAATGTTAGGATTTGATTTTCAAATGAAAATTTGAGATGCTTGGTTGTTACTTGTCAGCATCTGTATATACCATATCCATGGCTAGAGTGTTATAAATACTCTGTATCACAAGTTTTTTAGTCTCTAAAAACATAAAATCTCTTTTATCCCATCTTAAATATATTGTGTGAGTTTTCATTTCATATTTGTTTATGTACTTGTTTGTAGAAGCAAAGAAGCTCCCTAGGGCTTGCGTTGTGCTGTTTTAAAATCTCAGCAAAGTTTTTGTACTTCAATACACTTAGCTTAAACGTATGCTACTGTGTCATATCTGTAATTAAAGATAATAAGGAACTTGATCTTATAATTTTTGTAGTTGTACTGAAAATGAGTTTTAGTGTAAAGTCACATGAGTCTATCTTTGGGCTTATGTATTTACTATTTTTGCTGGAGGCAGTTGACTTTCTGGCTATATGCTCTAATGCTCTATACATGAAAACAAATATGTATACGTGCATATTGCTTTTTCTATATATATACCTAGAGTCTTTACATGTACCCACAGATTGTGCCTTCCTTTTTTGAAAATAATATTTCTCACATTTCATGTTTCCTGATTCGTGTTTCTATGCTACCAAGTGCTACTCATTGGAGAATTATTTGATTTCTCATTTTCTTGTGATTAAATAGCAGAAGTGTAGATTAAATGTGCAGAAAAACTAAAATGAGAAAACCTGTGCTTAGTACTTACTAATCCAACTAGCAAAGTCATGGAGTCAGCCAAGAATTGGCGTAATGGAAGAAGAAGTGTATAGGTCTGAGCATAGGTAAACATAGCAATAGAGATGCATCGCATTATAACGGTGATACCATTCGAGTTAATTGAATCTCAATGTCACTTGATGGAGTACTATTGTGCTCTTGAATATATTCTCTAATTTGCATTTATTAATCAATCAAATCCCCAGATGGAAATTTTGCTATATTATGGGTGTGTTTGGTTGGAGGAAAAATGTTCCCCAAGGAATATTTTCGAACCATATTTTCCGTTGTTTTGTAGGAAGGGAAATGTTTTCTTAAAATATTAGTTTCTATTATTCATATTTAAAAATTAATATTGAAAGACAGGTTTTGAAGCAATTTAATAATATGTGAAGCATAGGGGGTGACACAAGATGGATGGGGGCAGGTGCAGGGGCGGGTGGACGAGGTTCATGGGCTGGTTGCGAGTAATGAGGGACGATGGGTATGGATATGTGGTGGGGGTGAGGTTGGATGGTTGACAAGGGTGGATGGGGTGAGGTGGGTGTGGATGGGGGAGGGTAGGAGGGTGAGGAGTGAGGGTCAACAAGAATGGTAGGGTATGTGGGGCCAAGGTAGGGGGTAGCAGGTTGTAGGGGGAGGTGGTGGGAGCGGTAAGGGCTGGGGTGGGATGGAAAGGGGTTATGTGGGTGGACGGGGGTGTGGGATGGGGAGCTTGCATGGGGGACGGACTGACAGGGTGGATAGAGAATGATAATTTTCTTTAGAAAGCAAACAGATTATTTTCCCTCAATTGGGAGAAAGTATCTTCCTCGGAAACTATTTTCCTTCAAATAATGTTACCAAACACAGGAAAATAAATTCAAGTTTTCTTGGAAAATATTTTTCTCAACTGAGTGGGATTCAACTGGGTTGTTGTTGTTGTTGTTGTTGGAAAATATTTTTCTCAACCAAGCACACCCAAATTGTGCTTGATTTTTTTTACTAGTGAATACATTTTGATTACTGAGTTGCTTAGTTTGTATTTGGTAACATTTCTATGTCATGTACAAAGCCATATTTGCAGTTTACATTACTAGTGAATACATTTTGAGTTTTTCTATTTTTATTTAAATATTAATCTTTTGAAATTTTAATTCATGTTTTTTTGAATAAAACAAGTTTTAATTTTGTTAATGTATGAACTGGTCATATTCACAATTCTAACCTTTTAACCATTTATAGGTAGTGTCTACCTGAAACATATTAATTTTTTTACTAAATATGTATTTAATGTTAGACCATTTAAGCATGTTTCTCATGTTCAGAACTCAGAAGGCAGAGGTTGATTTTCACATGAGTGCTATGGTGTTGGTGTGTTGAGTTTTTGTGGCGTGGAGTAGTTGCCGATAAATTGGGGGTTGCTGGTTAGTTAATTAACATCTTATATGTAGAAGGTAGTAAGCTAGATGATGTCATATAGTATTTTGTGAAAATCAGCTGATAAGCTAGCTACTAGTTTAAAAATGTAAAAATGATACTGAGTATAATAAGATAATGCAAAATAGTATTAAAATAAGAACGAGGTTAAAATTGATTTGCAGTCGAAAAGATGATGTACCATACATGAAAAGTTGCTCATTGTGTAAATTTAAATTTATTAAGTTCATTTAGGCAATCAAAACTGTGTGAAAAGTTTCATTAAATAGCTGATATCTAGCTTGAGACATGCCAAACCTAGTGTTAGATACATTGATGAAGTTGTGTGTGCTTTTATCAAGTGCATAATTATGGTTTACGCTTTGGAATTCTCATTTTTAAGAAATGAGTTTATTATGTCAAATAAGTATTTCTAATGATTTGTCAATAGTTCATGTCAAGAATGTTCATACCCCAACTTTAGGATATTTAAGACATTTCATCACAATTTTCTATTGGATATTGGAAGTTAGACATCAAGTTTTGGACAAACGGATTCAATAAACTTAACAACTAAATCCAAACAGAGGGAGTAACATTTTTTAAATTAGTGGCAAGAATGCATGCAATTGACATCTTCACGCTTGCTCCGAGAAAAAAAGTGCTGTTTGACTCCCTAAGCTATGGCTGAATAACAATCCACTCTCTACCTGCCCACATGATCAATAATTGGGGCTCATGCTAAACAATTAGGAACAAATCTCGAGTTATGCATTTCGTCCCTTTTCAACATGCAATTTTTCTCTTTTTTTTGTACATTTCAGTGTGCTGGGCAGTATGGCATTGGTAACCACTGCAGAAGTATGTGATGCAAACGCACAGCTAATTGTGGGAGGGGAACTCCGTGCTCTCCAGCCGGGCTTCCAGATATATGGCAGGCGCCATGTTTTCTTTGGCCCAGTCGTGACCCTGAAAGTGTTCGAAGACAATGTCTTGATCAGGGAGTTTCTGGAGGAGAAAGGGAACGGCCGGGTTCTGGTGGTGGACGGCGGCGGCAGTTTGAGGTGTGCAATCTTGGGCGGCAACCCCGTGGTCCAAGCCCAAAATAACGGATGGGCTGGGATTGTGGTGAACGGGTGCATAAGGGACGTCGATGAGATCAATGGGTGTGATATTGGGGTGAGAGCTTTGGCTCCCCATCCCATGAAAGCCAACAAGAAAGGGCACGGGGAGAAGCACGTCCCCGTCACCATGGGTGGGACCCGCATATGTGACGGAGAGTGGCTTTATGCAGACACCGATGGCATTCTCGTCTCCCGAACCGAGCTCTCAGTTTGAGAAGATGATGATGATGCTTGTTGGGCTTATATATGGTAAGCAGCTGCAAAACTTCCACAACTTATGGGTATGTAATTACATTATCAATTTTATTATTATTATTGTGCTATTTCTAGAACTTGATTTTCCACTATGGCAATGTGACCCAGACTAGAGGTGGCAATCGGATCAACCGGATCGGTTTCGGGTTGGATTTTTTCGGTTCGGATACCTTTCAGTTATATGTTATAATCGGTTCGATTCGGTTCGGATCGGTTAAATTTCGGTTCGATTTGATTTCGGTTTTATACATTTTTCGGTTCGGTTCGGTTTCGAGTCGGTTTAGATACGGTTCGGTTATAAATCGGTTCGGATAGATTTCGGTTCGGATACAATTTGAGTCGGATATATTTCGAATTCGGGTCTAGTTCGGTTTGGATATATTTCGGTTTCGGATCAAATATATTTTGGATATATATTATTTTCTAATTAAAATTTAACTATCCGTGTTTCTTTTTATGTTTTATCACATTTATCAATCTATCATCAATTCAATACCTCATATTATTTTATATTTTTTTCTAGTTATATTATCTATACCCTAAATAATCTTCCCTTTTTGACTTTTTAGTCATATTTTACAAATTTGGACTACAAATTATGAAAACATATATATTTAATTATGATATAAATTTAATATAATTAAATTGATTTTAAAATTTAGTTTTGAAATATAAAATTTTTCTCACATATACTAATATGGTAAAAAAGATATAAATGAAAGGATAAAAGATAAATTCAAATAGTCTTATGTTCCATTTGAATACAATTTGGTAAAAATTGAGTAAAATTTGGTGAATATAAGTGAATTTTATTTAATTGAGTGCAAAATTTGTAAATTTTTAAATATATTTGGTTGAAAATAAAGAAAATTAAATTTAATAGAGTCAAATATAATTAATTTTACACTTAAATGTAATGGTGTAGATCAAATTTGAAAATGATAACAGTAAAGGCTGCCGCTAGAGAGTCTTTTCAAAATGCTAGCACTAACATCTAATTTTATTGACTAATATTGAATGAGATGAAATTAGGATAAAATCTAGTTATTCCATACAATTCATCATATATTCCTTTCGTCCCGAAAAGAATATCACACTTCACTATTTAAAAATTACGAAAATTTTATTTATTTGTGCGTTATCATTTATATGTATAACTTATCTTTAATTTCTACATATAATAAATTTAAGGCATCAAATTTTGTACTTTTTTTAAGAAGATAATCCATTTTATGAGGGAATGAGCAAGTAATGTAATTAGTTCAAATGGTAAAATAAAAGTAAAAATTTAAAAATATAATATGCTTATTGTAAGGCAAACATAGTTCTGAATTTATTGATTTTAGTTCTAATCGGGTTCGGATATTATCGGGTTCGGATATTATCGGTTGCAGATCTAATCGGTTTCGGATTTATCGGTTTCGGGTATTATAGGGTTCGGATCTAATCGGTTTCGGGTTTAATCGGTTCGGATATTATCGGTTTCGGGTCTAATCGGTTTCGGATTTAAATCGGATATGAATTATTTAGTTCGGTTTCGGTTCGATTCGGATCATTTCGGGTTTTCGGTTATAGATCGGATCTTCATTTTTCGGGTCATTCCAGTTTCGGTTTCGGATATTTCGGTTCGGGTAATCGGTTTCGGTTCTGTTTTGCCAGTTCTAACCCAGACCCAGTCTAGGTTAGCTGGGCATTGCTTCATCTGAATTTTAAACCTGTAATCTTAGCCTGCACCACGTTATGCTCGTTGACTTGTGATGATTGTTTATCTTTTTCTGAAAGACGTTTGTTTTGAATAACATATATAGGACATCTGGGATGTGTACTCTGTATTATAATTATGGCAGTGTTTGATTATTGGTCATTGTGTTATTTCTTGTGTTATACACTTATACTCTCTTTGTCCCAAATCGAAAATTGCAAAGCGAAAATAACTTCAGTCAAATATCGTAAACCAAAACAGGTAAACCAAAACAGGCGATTTGAATTACGATCATAGACCGCCATAGCAGCACAGTCTGCATACCAAGAGTCTCCGGGAATCAACTTCTCTTTTCACTAGGGGTGTATACAAATCAAATAAAATGTATTCGATTCGGGATTCGTATTCGAAAAAGATGATTCGTATTCGCTTTATTCGAATTCGAATCCGAATACAAATCATATTTTTGATTCGAATTATATTCGAATTCGAATACAAATATTAATAGATTCGATTCGTTTATTATTCAAATTATTCGAATATTATAATTTATAAATAAATATATATATATATTCTAATATATTAAATATTTGTGTACATATTTTAGTATATTAAATTTTTGTGTACATTTAATTTATATAAATTCGAATATTATAATTTATAAATAAATTTATATATATTCTAACATATTTTTACTGCATTTTACATTATTATAAAATAATAATTAAATATATTTAAGAAATCTATTTTAAGAGAAAAATTATTAATATTTTCGAATTCGAATATTCGAATACGAATTCAAATACGTCAAATATCTATCGAATCGAATACGAATGTTTTTTAAAATTCGAATTATATACGAATTCGAATTCGAAT